CCCAAAACCCCAAAACCCCAAAACCCCAAAACCCCAAAACCCCGCTAAATTCTGGAAATTTAAGATAAATTATTTAAAATCAGATTATTCAAATGGTAAATTCAATCAATTTTCTACCAAAATTTATCAGATTTCCCTTAAAAGCTCTCTTGCCTTCCAATTCTAATATAGTTTAGGAGAAAACACACAATAATGAGCAAGAGCAGGAGCCAGAGGCTCAAGAGGAATCTAAAGAAGCCAATAAGAAGACATTAGAGGAGTTACTTAGCAAATGAACTTATGACAGAGGGTATATAAACCAAGAACTCTATGCTTGTGAAACTTGATACAAGGAGAAAGAGGATGACCAGGACACTAATGAACCAAATCAGTACGGAAGATCTGTAGAGCCAGCTGGAATTTGCTTGCCTTGCCTTGTTAGCTGCCATCAGGACCATAAAGTCTATGAGATTTGGAGAAAAACAAATTTTAGATGTGACTGCGGGAATCTAAAATTTAACTCAGAGTGTACCCTGAACCCAGATAAAGATCCCTTAAATGATGAAAACTCCTACAATCATAATTTTTATGGAAAATATTGTCATTGAGATGAAAAATACAATGGAGAAGATGAGATGTACCAGTGTACTTATTGTGAAGACTGGTTCCATCCAAAGTGATTGAAGCCAGACATCACGGTTAAATTAGCGGCTTCTGATACCAAAAACGACTTAGGATGGAAGCTTATTTGCAGAAAATGTTGTAAATAAACTAGAAAACTTTCAGTGAAAATCTTCTAAAGATATGTCAAATCTCGACACTAAAGAAGCAATGAATCAAAGCGAAAGCTTTGAGAAGACAAAAATAACTCGTAAAAGAAAGAGAAATGAACTCCCAGCTCAAGAAGATCCTCAACAAGATCTGGAATCATCAGAAATTAGTGCAGATTCTAAGAGATTCAAAAATGATGAAAATCCAACACTTAAGAAAGAAGGAACTAAGGAGACAAAGTCTGACCAAATCAAGGAAGAGGAAGAGAAGAAAGAAGAGTATGAGGACAGGATCCTTTTCGAGTCCATTAGAGAACACCTATGCAAATGTAAGCAATTTCACTCACCAAAATATTAACTTAAGTGTAGGAAAAAGTGGGAGATGCCATGATCTTAAAGAAAAGTTTTTATCCCAAGTTAATGCAGTCGAAAATATCCCAGAGGATGAACAAGAAATATCAAAGGCCTTACTTGAAGAAAAGCACAGCCATTTTAGAATCCAAGAGCTGCTTGAAGAACCGACTGCCACTGCAACATCTGGCTCTGCTAAAATTAGCACTGAGAGTGAAGTTTTTACAGACATAGCATCCACAAATTATCCAAATGTCACTCCAATGTTCAGACAAGGCATGCTTGAAGGACTAAAGGAGACTATCAGAAAGGTGCTTGATCATGCTATTGAAAACACAACAGATAGTACACCGTGAATCACTGAGACAGATGTAGAAGTTTTTATGGAAAAAGTAAAGAGTGGAGACATAAAACTCCCCCATATGAAGAAGGATTAAATTCTTCCATAAACCATTATTCTAAAACAATTACATCATAGCTCAGCATTAGCATGGCTTAGATACTTTATGTTGAGATGATTTCTGAATATAGTTAAAGTTTAGTTTGAAGACTCCATAAATCCAGTTTCAACAAAGTAAGTTTATAAAGGGGTTTTGGGGTTTTGGGGTTTTGGGGTTTTGGGG